TATCAAGCATGATTTCATTAAATATAAACTATTTTTAAAATCATTTTGTTTCGGCTAGTGTGTTGTATCTCCGGGACATAAGCCTTCAGCATTCACTATCAAAATTTTATTTTTGTTCTTAGCTTTTGATTGTAGATATTCCTAAAAGAAAGGTGAGTTTTTTTAGGTACTTATTTAGCTTTGGGTCCCTCATGATTAGATCTATCTATCTTGATTTTTGGCATTAGGTCATTTATGGTTCCTTTAGAAACCCAAACCAATTTATGCAAGTCATATCTTTTAAATGAATATTTATATGCAAAATGACCATGTCTATCATAAAAATTACATCTATTTTCATGAAAAATATGTAATGTGGGTCCTATAACGAAAATAGTTGACTTTTGTTAAATGTTACTCACAAAGCCAATTCATTTCTTTCTATAAACATAACTCTTATTGGCAAGAATCATATTTAAAGATTTACTACTAATTTTTAAATTATATAAAGTTTGTTATAATAATAAATTTTCCTTTTTGCATGAATCTAATTCTTCATATTTAGTGCAAGAGTTTAACATACAATAATCATGCTTATTTTTTAATTTTTCAAATTAATTAGATAGAGAAATATGATCCTTTTTTAGCAATTTATAATTTTTACCAACTAATTTAAATTTATCAGACAAATCATTGATTGTATCAAATAATTCATTGTAAGGTAAAGACATTTCGGTTGAGTCATTTACCTCGTCGTCGAAAGCCATTAAGGCGTAGTTTACTATTTTATCTTTGTTAGTTTGCTCCTTGTCTTCGGATGTACTAAATTTGTCCCAAGCCATATTAAATACTTTTTTTTTCTTTGGTAGCTTCTTCTTTTTAAGTTCATTTTTATTTTTTTATTTTTGTTTTATGAACCTTTTAAATTTACTTGTGAGGAGTTTAAAGTCATCATCAGTTGAGCTTTCGCTTGAGTGATCTTCTTTTGTTCTAAGTGTTAAATCCTTTCTGTTCTTTATAAGGTTATTCTCAAGTTCTTCTTGTGTCATATAAGTCATTTCATATGTCATTAATGAACAGATGAGTTCTTCCAGTGAAAAATTATTTAAGTCCTTTTCCTCTTATATTGCAATTACTTTTGAATCCTAATTTTTAGAAAGAAACCATAAAACTTTATTAAGAAGTTCAAGATTTAAAAAATATTTACCAAGAGCTTTTAAACTATTGAAGACGTCCGTAAAATAGGTGTACATGTCAACAATAGTTTAGCTTGGCTTCATTCGAAACAATTCAAAATCATGCATCAAAGATTTATTTTAGACTCTTTTACTCTATTCGTATCTTCATAAGTTACTTCTAGTGTGTGTCAAATCTTATGTGCAGTTTCACATGTAGAAACATAATTAAATTTATTTTTATTTAAAAACAAAACAAAACATTCATCGCTTTAGCATTCAAAGAGAAAGTCTTCTTCTCCAATTCATTTCATTCTTTCATTGGTTTGGAAGACTTTTCAAAACCACTTTCAATAATGTTCCATAAGTTGAAATTTATAAAAAGTAAGAAAATTCTCATTCTAGTTTTCCAGTGTAGTTTGTTCCATTGAACATAGGATTATGAGTGATAGAAAAACCCTCTTGATTGCTGGTAAAAGTCATTTCTCTTAGGTGTTAAACCAAATGAGAAAAATCTTAGCTCTAATACCAACTATTAGGACCGTGACAACATAAAGAGGGAGGGTAAATTAGTACTTTCATAAAACTTATGTTGATTTAGAAACTTTGTTCAATAAAGCCGTATCAGAAAGATATTTAACTTAAAAATGTACGAAAGCGTAATGTGTGTAGTGAGAGTAAGAAATCAATTTGCAATGTAAATGAAATGCATAAAGTAAATGCAAACCAAATTTTATAGTGGTTTGGTCGTCGTAACCTACGTCCACTCCCGATTCCTCTTCACTCGAGGCCACCAGCTTTACTACCGATCTTCTTTCAACGAGCGAAGATCAACTACTCTTACAACTCTTTCTTCTTTTCACAAGCTTAAGAGAGAACCTTTACACCTCTCTTTTAGACCCTACTCCTCCTTTAGAAAATTTCTAACTCTACGAGGAAGAGACTCTAAATCCTAATAGAGTTTTCATTTTTTTTCTTAAGTATTCTTTCCCTCTTTTTTACTGAAATTCATGCTCTTTTAAGTAAGAAAGATTAGGATATTTATAGACCCCAAATGGCTTCAAAAATAGAACAAAAAAAGGTCTTATCTTGGGTTTCCTAGGTCTTGGCGGTACCACTGCCTACAGCATTGTCACTAGGCGGTACCATCGCTTGACACAGTTTGGGAGACTATATCTGGAACCACCAAGTCTGGCGGTATCACTGCCTGACACACTGACATTGGGCAGTACCACTGCTTAGTCTAGCGGTATCATCGCCTAACAACTTAAAAAAGTGTGCTCTTGACTTTTTCAGATCATAGGTGGTTCCACCTAATCTTGGGTAACCGAATGAGCTTTCCACTTGGCCCAAAATAATACCAACTCAAGCGCAATGGGCCCCTATTAAGTTAGCATGGTTATATATGAAACTAACTCAATTTTGACCTAACTACAACCAATTAAGACAACTGATTATAAGACTAGAATTCTATATTGTTCTACATGACATTGGTTCATCCAGTGCTTCGTCCGATCCTACGGCGCATCATCCTCTCCTTTGATGTATTGCCCAATCGGTATCTTAACCTTCGTAACTTTCAATCTCCTTGGAGCAATGTCCGATCCTTCGGCCCGATGCCTGAACTCATGGTATAAAGTCCTTCTGCCAGCATATCGATTAATCCTCTAGCCGACATCTAATCTTCTAACATGTTCACTCCAGCCCAACGTCTGATTCTTCTTGCTTTAATAGATTTGTCTTTCTTGATCGAAGTTAGTTCTACGTTACTCAAAATACAAATTAGATCGTAAACTTATCAATTGATTTTATCATCAAAATTCAAGATTTAATAGTATATATAATCTCTCATCCATCTAATATCCCAAAGATCATATACCAGACATAGTGCTGTTAGGCCCACACAAAATCTAATCGAGTCTCGCTTTGATTGGATTCTCCTAGAGAACTCTTTATCTCTCAATCCGAATGACCCTAGCCAAGGATTTGCCTGAGCAAGAATATATGAGATATTTTTCTCATGACACTGAGAGTGGATAATCTTATATGGACACTTAATAGCCCTCGTAAGGTTGGCTATCACTCCCGATGACCGGCTATGCTAGAGTTAGAACTTCTAGGTCTATAAGTCCAATATCAAAGAGTGGAGTACTCAAATAGGATATACTTGGTGTCTTAAGTCTAAGGACTAAATATAGTACTAGGACGACGGAATCGTTATTTAACAATGAGGTATCATCAACTATCCAATATTCTATGAGCGAATCGATTAATGAACTCATTCTCTAATAAGCACCTACACTATATCTCTAGTGTCCCCACATAAGCAACTATGAGACTAATCGCCTTCATCGTATAGATGGGTATATGACACATCAATCTATCCGGTTATCTCAATGTCCCTCTTGAGTAACTTACAACTGGGATTATTTAGGGTCTATGTTTAAAGGTGAATTGATAGATATCATAATATATATAATATACAAGATAAAGTGATAAAATATCAATAAATAATAATAAATAAAAAGAGTGTGTGTCGTGTCACACGTGTCATCACTTATATGATTGACTTGCAGGGTACCTATAGCTAACACTCTATAAAAGAGATATCGAACTAAAATGGTTATAAGACTGAACCCCTTTAGCCGCCACCTCCTTGACCTCCCCTCTTCTTCCTCTAGCGATCTACCCATTCTTTGGTGTGAGAGGATAGTAAGAGAGTCGCCCTTTTGCTGCTACCCCTATTGTGTGGTAGTGCGTAAAAGCGAGCAAGGAGTGCCTTACGTGAGGAGATGCGTCACTGCTTCATCCATCGTGTAGATCACTACTAGAGAGGAGCTTGCGAGAGCTCCTTCATTCACGGACTTAGATCCGCAGTTTTAGGAGTATACGATCTCTCTTAAGTGAGAGCATCTTATGAATCTTATACAGTTTTTGGTTTTACGAGTTTTCGCTACCGATCATCGCACAAAGATCAAATATGATTTTTTTGGGAAATAGTCTTTGTTTTATTTTTTCACTACACATGTGATGCTCTCTATGGTTTCCCAACAATTTTATCCTAGTCCAACTAGTAAAAAGGCCTAAGGATCAAGTATAAAAAGGAACCCATCATCTTACATTGAGTGAGGGGCTCTCTATATATTAACTCAGTCATACAACTTACACCACTATCTTCTCCTCTTTGCTAACTTAAGTATTAAAGAGGCTGCATCGAGCAACCCCCAATGCTGGCCTATCATGTAGGATCGTCAATCGCCCCAAGACACACAAACGATCTAACTCCTAGGAAGAAACCTTGCAACCAGAAAAATCCTAATTCGCCTATCTAACCACCTCGAACCGGGTTCTCATCAATAGAACTTTCGATCGAACAACCTTTATGATCTCATTTCATAAGTCTCCCATGTCAATCAGGAAGAAACACTTGAATGAGCTTATATCTTCGATAATGAACTAACCAGATCGATTTATCAGTCAACGAAACTCATAATACCATCACTTAGAAAACAATCTGCTGCATCTTGCAATAAATTTAAGATAACATTCTTGCATGAGTGATCCGCAATGAAGCCAACATAGACAAAATTGGAGTATATAACTCAAATCGGATATCATCTACCTTGTTTTATTCGTCGAGGACGTCACACCCATTTCCACGCGTGGTCTTTTTGCTACCTGCGTCGCCGGTCAACCACCCACCCCGTTACGAGCGGGTTGCCTGTAAAACTGACCGCCACGTTACCGGCTCGACCGGTCACCTCGCCCTCTTCCTTTCCTCTACCCTGTCACGCCAACGGTCGCAACCTCTTCCCGCCACCTATATAACGTGTGTTTCCCCCGCTACTACACCTCAAATCCTTCCCCCTCGTATCTCTTCCCCTCTCGATCGCTCCCTGTCTCAGCCGGTAAAGATGAAACGCCACGCGGCTCTCGCCATCGCCCTCCTCCTTGCCGCGGTCGGCTTAGCCGTGGCCCAGGAACCATCGCCAGCGCCAAAACCCTCGGACGGGACGTCCCCTGCGGCTGTAACCCCCTCTCAGCCAGCCGCCGCTGCGGCAACACCCGAATCCTCCGCCGCGACGTCACCAACGGCGCAATCCCCCGCCGAAGCCTCGTCGCCCAAGCTCTCGACGGCCGCCTCCGCCCCCGCTCCGGACTTCGCCGCCACCGCTTCCTCTCCGGCCACTTCACCACCGACCTCCTCCGCCGATGGTTCCTCTCCGGCGACTTCTCCTTCTGCGTCGGGGCCGTCTCAGGATTCCGCTACAGCGACTCCACCTGCATCGTCGGGGCCAGCTCCGGATTCCGCTGCGGCGATTTCCCCTTCCGCGTCGGGGCCGGCTCCGGATTCTGCTGTGGCGATTTCCCCTTCCGCGTCGGGCCCGGCTCCGGATTCCTCGGCCGCCGCTGACGCTCCCGTCGCGGATTCGCCGCCGGCTCCGGATGCACCAGGAGCCGCGCCGGATGCGGACGTGGGTGTCGCTCCGGATTTGGCTACGGGCGACACGCCGGCAGCGGCGCCAGGTCCCGACGGCGAAATTAGCGACGAAACCGGCGCGGCATGCCCTCCTGCCGGGACCGTCTTTGGTGGGATCACGGTGGCTTTGATCGCGGGGGTTGTCGCGTTCTAAGTGTTGGCCCGCACGCTGTTTTAATGGGGAGTTGTGAAGGCTTTCGGTTGAAGAACCGACGAATTCTTCAGGCATAAGCATAGATTTGGTAGGGTTTCATGGGATCAATACCTCTCATATCGTAGTAGATGATGAGAGGATACAGAAGATTATTATTATTATCATCATCATCATTATATTGTTCATTCAGCTTGAGCCGAGCCTTTGTAATTGTCTAATGAAAGCACCTACCTTTTCTTTGATTCATCATGTAGCATTCATTATATACACTTCATTTTTATAAGAAAAGAGTCCAGTTTTACAATATAGCGAGGCAGACTGGAAAGAAAGCAAGATTTCCTTTTCTTAAGTAAGTAATATTTTTATATTACTGGAGGCAGACTGAACTCCATTATATACTCTTCATAAAAACGTACCTTTCCTTTAAAGATTCTGACGGAGTTCCTCCGACATCGAATTTCACCTTTTGTCGTCAGCTGGTTAATAAAATATTTCTCATAAAGTAATATTTTTATCTCTCACTTATGGAGATGTAGAGAAAGTGAATATTCCTCGTATCATCAACATGTTGTGCGAATTATGAAATATCGTAGATCATCTAAACACTATCACCGTGGGTCCAATATGTCCGGATGTACTCAGCACGAGTCAGGAAAGTATGCGCATCACATTGTTGTAACTTCTGAGCTCGAGTTGGCAAGACGATATCTTTTTAATTCTGAGACACTGGACTATCAAAATAGCCAACCTTCTGATAGTTAAATTATTTAAAACACTAATAATTAATACTGCATGAAGCCTCAAAATGCTTGAACTAAAACAAAATAGTGCTGCAAAAGCAAGATACACAAGATTGTAAAATCTTAGATTGTTAAAGATATTATATCTTAGAATAAGTTCATGAAGATTGCAAAATCTACATCTTGTAAATGTTACACGCGGGGTCCAATTTGTGGATCATGATCTTGTATGTTGTGGCATAGATGATAAATGTTTGTGAAGAGATAGAAATTATAGATGATAAAATAATATTTATTTTATCTATAATTTAAGGTATTATGGTATACGGTGGATTTGATATTGAGGAAAACAAAACAAGGGGCAATCCAGTTGTTGTATGCCGCACGGTGGGTTGGAAGCCATAAGATTTTTCGAATAATAATACGTAAATCGAGAGGACAGAAATTAAAAAGCAAAGAAAAAAAAAACAAACTAAAACTATGTGTGGCGAGATGCCGAAGCATCCAACAAAAGTGTTGGTGAACAGGGAAACAAGAAGATTAGTATATAAAGAAAAAAAACACATACACTACTCACAGCATGTGGCTTGCTGTGCATTGGATGTTGTAAGCATTTAGGGCCCCTTAGGACCTCTTGGTGGGAACAAAGACCAAAAGATAAGCGGGAGAAAAAAAAAAAAAAGTGAGGTCACGTGTCAAAGTTAAAGTGAAAAAAAAAATAATCAGGGAAAAAAATAATTCATTTAATATCAAACAAAACATGAATGAATTGGAAAGTGGATTTTATGTATGATTATTAATATATTTTTTTTTTATGAATTTAGGAAAGAAGGATCTTGATTTTTATGATGGTTTTGATAGTCCAAGATTAAGTATCTAACAAATTAGTCTTGCTTATTTTCGAATAAATGTGACTTATATGATTTTTAATTTATTTACAAAATACTTTATTATTTAAAAAGCATTGAAAAAGTATTATATATGTTTGCCATACGTGAAAATGTATATATCTGGCAAATATTATTTGAAGTATTTATTAACCTACAAGTTCTTTTATAGTTTAAAATATTATAAAATCTCGTGCAAAATTAGTTTTGAAAATGCTATATAATTCTGTCTAGATTTGAAATACTATGTAAATAACTACTCAAGTGTTTGATATTCGACAAGTGCTATATATTTAGTAGTACGATGATGATGTGCACTCTATTAATAGTGGTTTAACATTGGTATTATCATAAATTAAATTTTTTGGACCCTTACCAAGGGATAAATATGTTACCCACATAAATGGTACTATCACTTGGGCATCGTAGTACCACTACCAGGCCTAATTTACTCCATCAGTTTAACCTTCTAATTAGTCCAATTTGACCTAACATGAAGCCCAATAACTTTCGAATACCAACTCAAATTGATCCAAAATAATCTCGTTCAAGACTTTGATAAATCAATTACAAATCCGATATATTTATGAAGCTTTTGGCACGTTGTACACCCATCTAACATGTCATTTGATCTTTTGGCATTTTGTCTAAATCTTTAGCACATTGTTATTTCCATCGGCATATCTCTTATTCTACTAGTAATTTAACTTTCCTATGATATCTATGGTTCTAATGCAATATCTAATTCTTTCGGCATAATACTCAAACCTATAGCACGAAGTTTGATCTCTAACCTGTCAACCAATCCTTAGGCTTGATGTCCAATTTTTAACATAATAATTTTTCAATGGAACATCTGATTCTCCTACTTGATAGTTGGCCCTTCGATGGTCTAAGTCTATAATCAAAGTATTTCTTACATCACTTATCTCAAAAGCATATTAGTCTAATAAACATATCTATTGATTTCATAATCAAAATCTAGAATTTAATAATAAGATCTTTAATGACATATGAAATAATATTTAAAGTATATGATAAAGTAGAGGAAAGCCTTCCAAAGAAAAAAAAGGATATTGCTCTCAAATTCAAAGAAGATTATTCGAGTGAAAGCTTAAGTGACGATGATGAAGGTATGATACTTCTTACAAAAATATTCAAAAAAGCTAATGAGATAAAACAAGATAAATTTATCAAGAAGAGAAGGAAAGAATAAAAGTGAGCTCAAGAAAGATACAGTTATATGTTATGAATGCAAAGGCTGGAACACTTCAAAAATGAGTATTTATAAAAGAAGTCATCAACCCAAAAAGAAGAAGAAAGTACTCAAAGCTACATGGGATGAATCAAGTGAGTTGGAAGTAGGAGACTAAATTAATGGAGGAGTGATAAATTATGCCTTAATAACTTTTGATAATAACATAACAAATTCTTCCAAAGCCTCTTTATCATATTATGAATTACTTGAAGCATTTCATAATTTATATAATGAACTTAAAAATATTAGTAAAAATATAGTTTGCTAGAAAGAGATCATGTCTCACATGCCAATGAATTTGATATATTAAAAAATAAGTATGACAACTATATGTCAATATCTTGTACAAATATGAAAATTTAGAATCATCTAATCTTGAACTATAAAAGAAGTTACTTCAAAAATCACTAGGATTACATGCTTTGGAAAATACAAAGAATGACTTAAATGAAAAACTAGAACATTACTTAAAGGAGTCTAATGATAGTGATGATGTAATAGAATTACTTAGAGTAAAATATATTACTGTGATAAATATTTTAAAAAAAATAGGAACAAGTCACTTGATATGATTATTGCTAAATAAGGTTATGATTATCACGAAAAGAATTCATTGACTTCATGAGTAGTATCACGCATCTAAAGCCAATCAAGTTTGTAAAAGGATCGATATTGCATATTCATACACCTAAAGTTAAATACAACATTTGTGAAAAATTTAGTCATTACGCTTACATATACTTTCTTAAGAAATATAGTCATCTTAAATTAGTTTGGATTTCTAAAAGAACCATAAGTAATTTAAAATCATAAGACGAAAAAGGTACGTCTAACCATAAAAAATCTAAAGTTAAATCAGTACCTAAAGCAAAACCTTTTTTCTCATAGGTATATCTCGAAATAGGTATCTTGATAGTAGATGCTCAAAACATATGTTCGGAGATCCTATAAACTTCTTAAAGCTATTAGCCTAGATGGAGGATTTTTGTGATGCAACTTATTTTTTAGGTTTGAATGATCTTGATAATTTATATAGCTCTGATATAGGAGACTAAGATATGCTAGTATGAAATTAATTTCATAAATTAAATCTAACGAATTTGTAAGAAAAATGCCTACAATTAAATTTGTGATGCATGTCAATTAGGAAAATATTTAAAGAATAGATTTAAACCTAAAAACTAAGTAAGTACCTCTATATCTTTATAACTAATTCACATGGATTTATTTAGACCTATTGATATTATAAGCCTATGAGATAATAAATATGTTTTTTTGATCGTTGATGACTATAGTAGATATACTTGGATATACTTCTTGACACATAAAAATATTTGTTTTAAATATTTTATCAAATTTTATTAATAAATTTAAAATAAGAAAGGTTTTATGATATTTTCTATTTGTAGTAATCATTGTGGTGAATTTAAAAATTATAATTTTTAAGAATTTTTTTATTTGAATTAGTATCACTATAATATTAGTACTCCAAGAAATTTATAACAAAATGAAGTTATTAAGAGAAATTCCAAGTTATATCCTTTAATCAAATTATAAAAATACCCCTTATAAATCAAAAAATTCCCTACATATCCTTGATTTCAAAAATTTTTAATTAATTAAAAAGTTTAATTGGTTATTATTTTTATTATTATCTAGTAGTTCTATATAATGATGATGTGTACATGTGATGTATGATATGTGGACGGATGTTCATGGACAATGAGATGTGTGTACTTGTGATTATTATTATTCGGGCCTATAAGCCTCTATTTTATTTCTCATTTATTGTCGAGCCTGCGTGCCTATGATTAAGTTGTAATTACATGAGGAGGCACAACAAGAGCATGAAAGCGATAGCGGGATCCACGAGACGGACGATTGTGATGTATGGAGATGCGTTGAGATGCTGACAAAACCGATGAGGACGAGATGGACGATCATAGGGCATGGAGATGCACCGTTGCACACTTAAATCTTGATGTGAGTGATTAGGCCCATTGGCTCGGGCTTGATCACATTAGGTTGTGGTCCATAATCATATGGTGTGATTGCTCTTGTGATGTTTGATTGCTTTTACACCTACTAGATATGTATATATATTTGAATGCGATGTAGATATATATTAAATATGTATATGTATGACACGTTATATTAGGAGACCGAATCAAAATCCCCTCTCTCGATAATATTAAGTCAGTAAATGTGAGGTAATTAGATTGACCCACGTGGCCTTCCATCATTATAAGTAGGGACCGATTCTCAGTATAGGTTGAGTTGGTCGAGTCTCTCGAGGCTCACCTATATTATGATTCGCTATCTTGCTATGACATAGAGATGTCACCGGTAACCTGAGGATATTGTATGCTTGGTCGAGTCCCTCGAGGGTATATCATCGAATCAGACTCATCTTGTAATAATAGTGTTGACTTAACCGAACATCATGGTTGGTCGAGTCCCTTGAGACTATGGTGGTTCGGAGGCCGAATAGGATGA